AATTAATGACAGTCCAGCCCTTGGTAGGTAAGCAGCCCTGCACAATCTTCCTCATACCAAGAGCAAATCATTTCCATGGTGCTTGCTGTAGTCATATCTTGATCTTTTCAAGAGACTTTTTCTTTTTTTAAAAAAGTTATTTTTTAATTACAGTTGACATACAATATTATATTAGTTTCAGGTGTACAACCCAGTGATTAGACATTTATATAAATTAAAAAGTAATTACCTTGATAAATCTGGCACCCATCTGACAACATATGTAGTTATACACAGTTATTACAATATTATTTACTATATTCCCCATGCTGTGCTTTATATCCCCATAACTATTCTGTAATTACCAATTTGTACTTTGTACTTTTTAACCCCTTTTCCTTTTTCTCTCATTCTCCCCAGCTCCCTCCTATCTGTCAACCATCAAAATATAAGGGACTTTTTTTTTTTAGATTTTATTTATTTATTTTTAGAGAGGGAAGGGAGGGAGAAAGAGAGAGCCAGAGAAACATCAATGTGCGGTTGCTGGGGGTCATGGCCTGCAACCCAGGCATGTACCCTGACTGGGAATCGAACCTGCGACACTTTGGTTCGGAGCCCATGCTCAATCCACTGAGCTATGCCAGCCAGGGTGGACTTTTTTTTTTTTTTTTTTATACTGTAGTAGAATTGCCTTCCACACTAGTTTTCAAATAAACAATACAGCAATACATTTTAGGGTAGGGAAATTATATCATACCACTTTTAGTAAAAATAAAAATCTGTGTTATTTATTCATTATTCAGAATCCACTGATTTAATGTAATCAAGCAGTAGTTTAGACTTTTTCAATATAATTATTCAATCTAATTCCTCTTAGTTAAAAAACTCAATTTTATTTTTAAGAACCTGTTTTTTCTAATTCTTTTATATTTTATGTGGAGCTTCCTTACATTTAATAAAAGCAGCACATCTTTCTATCTGCACTATTTCCATTTAGTTCTCTGATAAGTAGTCAGTGGGGTAATATAAGCAATTAGAACAGTGCAAATGGATAATTTATCTACAGTTCCTGGTGCCCCTTTTCTGGAGATTTGGTTATCTTAATAAGTTTATTACTTTATCCTAATTAGCAAAATCATGCCTTGCTTTGAGTCAATAGCACATATTTATACCTGGTTTTTCTTACTAGCAATAGACATATTACAGTGAAGTCACTTTTAAATAGTCACTGATATTTTCAAAGGTCTTAGTTGCTTCAAGATTTTTAACTTGAAACTATTGTTTTTGAGGATGAAAGGGGAAAACATCACCATTCAGTTAACCATTTCATGCTGCTTCTGTCTCCTCCTTGGTTGTTTTTTCTACCCTCATTTAGTAGATTTTAGTTTGAGTATTAGGGCCCTGCTCTGTATTTTTACTAGTTTCTTAAGAGTATATGATCACTTTGACATGTTCATTTTTTTCAAGGGAATCCCAAGGAGAGTCTTTTAAATTAGTTACACTGTGATTTTAGTTCCTTTTCTTCTCCTCCTTCTTTCTTTCTCCTTCCCCCTCTTCTCCCCTCCCTTGCCCCCTCCACCTACTCCTCCTCTTCCTCTTTCTTTTTTCTTCCTTTTAGTAGTACCTTCATTCCTGAAGGACAGTTTATTCATCTCTCTGGTGATTTATTATAAAAATACCCACTGACTTTAAAGTCTAGGTTATTTCACTTTAAGTAAAAACTGAGTTGGCTTATTTATTTTAAACATTCTAAAATAAGAACTTAATGTAACATTCTGTATGTATTAATTTTGAGTAGTCATTGTCTTGATTTTATTATCTTTTAAATAGCAAGTCAACCCTATACCATCATGGCCAAACATCCCTCCTTGAATCAAATGACCTTTGTTCTCAAGAAGTCCCCAGTTACGTGCCATAATCTAATCCCTGATTGCCAACCCTGGAAGCCAAGAAGGTGGAAACAGTGGCAAACTAATAATGCAGTCGGTATAAATAGATTCATCCCCTCTGTTGCAGAAATTAGATATACTGTGTAGATTTGTTTATGGATTGGCATCGTTTTAAAAAGTTATTTTATTAGTACAAAATGGTCCTTTAAGTTCATGTTTCAAAGCCCTGTGCCAAGGTTTTCGATATTTTCAGCCCAGATTATTTTATGTGGCAGATACCAGCCAGCAGTATCCACGGCTGCTGTGAATGCTCGAGATACGAGAGAAATACACACAGACTACCGAGTCCTGTGGAGGAATAGGGACGGCATGGCCACTCTCTCTAAAGGAGGGAGAGCGCCCTGAGCCGCTGCCTGAGTAGGCTTTTATTAGGCATTATTGGGGAGGAATACAGATACAGCTAATTAACCATTGTCTAGCAGTGAGGATCAAACAGATAGATAACGTTCAAAGGGCTAAAAAAAGCTCACACTGAGTTGGGGTCTTATCACCTATAGAACTTAAGGAGCTAAATTCATTTCTTTCCCGAGCCTTCATAATCTAATTAAGAGCATCCTCAGAAAAGCAGGTTTCACAGGATTTTATATATTCTTTTTTCAGGTCTAATCATCCTGGGAAGTCCGCTGTCCCCAGTGTGGATTGCACCACCCATTGTTATTGTCACAGGCTTGAGGGGGCAGAGGAGACACAGGCAGCCAGATTTGAATGTCTCGCAGGCAGAATGAGGACTCAGGCTTTGTCAAAGCCGAGGGGTGGGGGGTCAAGCACGCCCTTTTCCACAGCCCCCCCTGAGTCTTTCCCTGAGGGCCTTCTCACGTGATCATGCCTGTCTTAGGTCCGTCCTCCTCTGAGGAGTATTACCCATCATTGTCTAACCAACCAAGCAATGGGGGCCAGGCAAGGAGCAGGCAGTGCTCCTGCCAGGGAGATAAGCTTGTCTCCTTAGTGTCTCCTGGTCCGGAGGTCTCCCACTCAGCCTTAGTCATGGGGGGTTACAGCTTCCTGAAACCAGGCAGGGCAGTTCCCAACAATTTTATACAAAGTATAAGTGTTTGTGTGTGTGTGTGTGTGTGTGTGTGTGTGTGAGAGAGAGAGAGAGAGAGAGACAGAGAGAGAGAGACAGAGAGAGAGACAGAGAGAGAATGTGTGTATGAGTGTGTTTATACATATATAACAACCTTCCCTGTATCAGGACATGATCAGTAGGCTCTGCCCCATATAAACTATTTGGGCCATTGAAAGATGACTTTAAGATTCCAATGTCTTTACTGAATGCACAAAAATAATGGAAGTGGCCGGTTTCCTCTGACTTGTATAGAAGAGAACCACACAGTGAGCTCCAGAAACGTGTGCAAGGCACATTGGCCTCTGTAAGAACTTTGCTACTGTGGGCTTCTGAGCTTTAGTTCAAGTAACAGGCAGTTTCAGATTTGTTTTAATCTCAGCCATCATTCCAAAGGCTGATCATTTTTAATTTACTAAATGGATGTTCATTCTTGGGCAAGGGAAATCTGTTTTCTATATATTAGCCATAGCAAAACCTTAGTTGATCCCTCATATGGCAGTGAGACAGAATAAGTACTCTGTGAAAACAATTTATTCTAAAACCTTTCAACAAGAATATTAAAGATAGCATTAGCTATGTGTATTAACCTCTTTTTGTTTAAGTAGAATTTCATATCAACTGAGAATATAATCTTTATTCTAAACCTTATTCTTGATAGAGGTACAGTACCTTGACACTTTTACTTTTTATAGTTTTTAAATTTTACTCATTTGAAATTATAAAGGAATAATTTCTATTATTTTTAATGACTAAAATTTATGATATAATATATATCATGAAGAAAAATATTACACAATGTCCTCCATAGCATATTCTGACAATTTCATATCCCCTTATTTCTGGGAAAGATAGTTTGTTTCATATTTCATTTTCACATCAATTTCACAAGAATGAAAGGCCATATTTGTGGGACATGGCCTTTCAAAACTGGGAAAAAGGAAAGGGCATATTTATGAGGGAACAAATGATTCATTGCAGAGACATGGTTCTGTCTTATGCCCAGTTAAGCAGAGTTAAATATATACTTGATTTCTTCCTTGAGTAAATATTTACTGGGAGCCTACCATGTGCCATCCTCTCTGTAAAGCAAAGACAGGGGAAGAAGCCTTATCCTGGGATCTGAGTGCCATTAGTCATTAGGGTAGACATTTAAAGTTAATGCCAACTTTAGTTGGCATTAATGCTATCTTGTGCCAAGATAGATCGGAAGTGACAAATGCACTCAAGTGTTTTGTAACGTGTGTGTGTGTGCGCGCGTGTGTGTGTTATGTGATATGCAGGACCTTTAAAGCACAGAGCCTAGATCTAAATTACTATGGTCAAACCATAGTATCTTCCTTGACCTTCAATAACTTCCTCTGTCACACTAGTTACTTTCTATTACCCACTTCTATCTTGCCTATAGTACTTCTCATTATCCTGAATTACCTTAGAGTTTTCTGTGTTTATAATCTGTATCAAATGTAAGTCCTGTGAGAGAAGAAATTTTTTTCTGTGTAGCTCACCAAAGTAACCCCAACACTTTTAAATTACTACTTCCTCTAGTCAAGTGTGATAAAGTGGTATACAGCTTTTCTTTTTAAAAACATCTTGAAAATTGGTAATATTCTGAAGGTCACAGTTATTATCTGAATGCTTTATGGAGATTAAACCAAAGTACTATGGAAATCTTTCTGTCAGTCTCTCATAAAGTTTTAAATTTTTAATGAATCAGTTAAGGCAGGAAACTTTAACAGTAAATAAGTACTTTAAGTTTTTTCTTTTCTGTTGGATTTTGGATCTTGTTTAGTGTTTACTGCCTGTATCATTTTTGTTTCATTATCACTCTGTGTCTCATGAATTTAGTTGAATATGCAATTCATTTTTTAATTTAAAAGAACATATTTCTCTTACATATTTCTCATTAAAACATAATAATTACCAACACAGACTAATTGGAACTTATATTAATTCTAGGTGGCATTTCTAAAATGAATTGTTGCTAATGTTGTTTTTAATTTTAATAGCCTCAAGTACTACAGCCTTCCAGCAGCCTTCCCAGACTCACAGACCACACCCAGGGAAAACTAATAAAATTGCAACATACGGAGGACCACAGTGAATGCACAACCCAGGGCATACATCAAGGTACTGCGCATCTGGATGAAAGCTTTACACATAACTTGCAACAAGAAAGCAACAGTGGTGTGGAAGATTGGCCTTTTTCCTCAAGCCCACAATTCACTAAGGATGTGGCTAAGAGTATACCTTCAGAAGCAGACTTGAACACGACCATGGATGCTCAAGAGCCTTATCATTTGGCAAATGATCAAATTAATGACTTGCAGATTGTACCCACTTCTCCTCAAACACTTACCCAGTCAAGTGCAGTCAACCAGGCTAAGAGAGTTGGAAGAAATCAGTCTTCATTGGAGGACTACACGTGTCAGCCCAAATCCTTACAGCTTTTTAAGCCATCCATCTTAAATTCTTTGGTACCTCCTTCAGTTTCTGAATCATCTTCCAGTAGGACTCCCACTTATAGGAACTCACCAATAATTGCACCATGTAATTCAGCAAAACTTAAGCTAACATCTAGTCAAACAAATCTTGCAAACAATCTAAGTCTAAAAGCATCTAAGCTCCGCCCTCCTTCTAGCTCTTTCAAACAAAAACAAATAAGCAACCCCCGACCAGAGGCTCAAAACTTTCAGGCCAAGACAAGCATCCCAAGGCCACTAACAAAAAGAAAAGAGATCATGCAGAATCCGAATGGCAATTTGAATTCTGGGGATTGTTTGGCTTCTAATCGATATTCTCGTCTTCCTAAACCAAAGATGCATTAAGTACATAGCCATCACTTGCCAATTTGTTGTTTTAAAAAACAATCTGTTCTGTAATAGCTTTACATGCAGTTTGCTGCCATGATGGAGCTTGCAAAATCTCAAAAATTAAAATATAGATCCTTCTACTAGTTTGGGCTTTTCCATTTTATATACTGGTTGAAGTACATAGCATTTGAGTGTATTTGTCTCAGGTAAACACAGAGTTTGCTTACCCATCTCAGAGGCCTACAGACAGTTCTAAATCATGTTGTCCATACCTTGGCACATCAGAAAATCTATAATATTTCGCCTAGCAGGCAAGAAATATGCTTTGCTTAGTTAGTCCTTTTAAGGTCTTCATTAATTGTGGTTCTCAGATCCTTTTTTTCACTTGTACCTCTTGTGAATATGGTATTATTTTAAATAAAGATTTGGTGATAATGGAAGATGATAGTCTGTAAGCAGAGTTCTGGCCAGTAGTTTGTATATTTAAAAAGTCTATACAAAAGCTCTGTGATAAATAAAGGAGATCAGGCCTTCAATGGGAAGTCTACGTAAGTTTTCTTTTCCCTAGGATCAGCAAACTACTCTCAGTGTTTATTTACCAAATAACCCAGGCTAAAATATTTCATATTATATATAAATCATTTATATATTACTTAAACATTTTGTTTTATACACACACACACCATTGTGTTTCTTTTTGCTACTGGATAAATTTTGGGAAGCTTGAGATATATCTTGAAACCCGTACCTAAAGCTGTATTCATTTACAACATGTTGGTGCTAGAGTTTTGCTGGTAATTTAGTTTTAAGCCCTACAGGCTTATGGATCCATGATAGCTGTTTCAGAGTTCCATCGCATATATATTGTCTTTATTGTAATATGTATATTTATTTACTTTCTGCTAATATCTGAAGACTGGAATAATGGACTTGAAATGTTTGCACAAAACTTTGATGGGCTATAAATATCTCATAAATAGGGATTTAAGACTTTTCTGCAGCAAAACAAGTTAAAATGTTTTGACAATAATTATAAACTTAAGTAAGACTATCTTGAAAGCTAGCTATTCACAGTACTTTTGTTTTGCTGAGTTTTTCAGGTTTCCCTTTGTTGGTATATGTTTGAATGACAGTTTCTTAAAAAGTAGATTTTAGAAACAAACAGAGAGGGGAAATTATGTTTCATTAAAAAGTATTAAAAGATATTTCAATGGCAGTATGTTTATTTAATGTGCTAGGAAGGTAGCAGTGGAACCCCCAAGGGACCAGACATACTAACCTAATCATGCTGCGGGCGCTCTTCAGATGGTTCAGTAAATTTGCCCTCCTGTTCTCTCAAATCATGTCCTCTTTCGGTTATTCACCTGTTTCTGCTTTAATTAGAATTATTGTCTTTCAAAGAGATATGCTTTTACAATGTAAATTTGTGATCAGCTGACCTTAAAAATGTATCAAAAGGGTCTTTGGCCAAAACATCACTCAAATTTGTAGGGATTCCTTTTGAAAATGTACATTGGTGAAATTGTGTGCCCCCTTTTAGAGAAATAACAGCATGTGTTTTGCTGCACAAGTGGCAAACACAAGGCCTGTGGGCCGAATGTGGCCCTCCACCTTGTTTTATCCCGCCCAGCACTTTGTTTCTACCCGGCAGCAGCACTGAGCTCTTGCTTAACTGTTAAGGAGTAGTTACATTTATACAGTCCTAAAATTACATTTGGCCCTTTGAAAGCAACTGTGAGGCTGATGTGGTCCCTGGTGAAAATGAGTTTGATACCCCTGTTTTACTGTAAAGTTCGAGAGGTGATTACTACCATTTAGATGCAGTCTTCCCTTACCATTAGAGTGAATTTGCCATTCACTGGTTACAAATCATTCTTGGATTTGGTAACAGGAGAGCATCATATTCTCATTCGACAACACTTCTTCAAGAGAAGCACACTAGTTCAGAAAATGTGTCACATTGTCCAGATACTGTTAGTATAAAGTGACTAGACATACCAGCAAAACTCCGGTTTGTTCATAGAGACGACCAGTGATGGCCGCAGCTCTAAGTGGGTACGTGTAGCCCTTCGTTTTGAAGGAGAAAGAAAATTTTTATCTTGCAGATGGGATGTTATCACACTATATTTCTTTAAAGTAAAACATCAACTGATGAATTAGGAGGGTTTTGATTAATTTAGAAGTTGATAAGAGACTTTTCAGGCACATCATTAGAGGGCAGGGTTCTTTGGAAAAGACAATCCTGGGAAACTAGAAGGCAACAGGAAAAGAGGAAGACCAGCTTATGAGATGGATCGACTCTGTAATGTAAGTGATAGGCATGAGTCCACAGGAGCTGAGCAGGACTGGTGAGGACAGGACATTGCAGACGCCCCTCATCCAAAGGGTTGCCAGGAGTTGGAGCTGACTTCACAGCTTGTAACACCTACACACATAGACTGTAAAATTATTTACAAGTAAGCCTTTATCTTTAAGGGAAAGTTTTAGTTTTCTACATTATTTTTAACTCCCTAGTCTGAGGTCTGAAGGAAATGTCTTTGTCTATTACATAAAAATAGTGACTTCTGCAATTTGTTTATTCTGATATTTTTCTTCTCTTTTTTCTCCCTGATGAATTTGCAGAAGTATGAGTCAACCCATGAGTTCAAGTTCTGTACCTTTGTTGAGCCTTAATCTTAGTAGAAGGCTGATCGAGATATAGATATCTATATATCTATATATCTATAAATCTATATATATGGGTTTTTTTAAGAGGAAAAAAATCAGGATGCTTTCACAAAACAACAAAGTATTTGCCTGCAGTTTTCTTTAAATACTGCAAGAATATTACGTTAGGCTGCTCCTTATTAACCATTAAATCAGAAACGAGGTGAGGACGTAGCTTGCCTTAATCTCTGTTTAGTGCTTCTGTAAATCAGCTCTGTGTCAAAACCCCCTCTACAAGCACTCAGATCACTTTTTCTTAGTTCTTGTGTTTTCAGTGAAGATGGTTGTAGTATATGAATTCCAAGTCCAGGAAATTTTCTGGGGATTGGTTAAGTTTCACATTTGTGAAAGAGAGAAACACTCCTGTAGGTAGAATGATATGTTTGGCTGTTAATGGGATGCCTATCAAATTCTTTAAAGAAAGCTTGGTCTAGGCCCCAAGGAGTTTATCAGTACAGATGCAGATAATTTTAATGCATTAAAGGATTACATCATTTAGATGTTAAATCATTTAGAATGTTTATAATAAGGACTGAGACCCTCTAATAATTTTTCTTTTGAATTCTCATTTTAATTTGTGCCATGTTTTCAGGCATATGGACTACTATTCATTGTATTTATATAGATATTAGGGAATCTATTAAGTATTTTAACAAGTAAAAACCTGAATATGAAAGAAAATACCAGATTTGCACTTTAAATGAGCTTAATTGTTGGGAGCTGTGTCTAAAATATTGAAATGCCTCCTGTTAGGTGTGGCTTTTTTGTTGCAATAAATTTCTAATTGTTGCTGTTTGAAGTATAGCCTTTCACAGAATTATATTCTCAGCATGTCACTTTTTCCATTAAAGCACTACATTCTTTGAATGTTTCATTGACCCCTTAAGTATTTTACACAATACATCAAAGAGAACATGATCCTCCTATAGCTGTAAGTTCTGAATCTTCCTATAGTGTAGATGGTGGTACAGACACAGAGGTACACGTTTCATTTCTGAGCAAAGTTGTCATGATGGTTTCCTGGTCTCTAGGGCACTGGGGATATAATTTGGAATCACCAAATAGGCTTGCAATGAAGATCAACAAGACTGCAGCACATTTTAGTTTACTCTCAAACTTATACAGTAGTTTTCATGTTTATAAATTAGGGTGGTTATGTTTGCATGCTTATGCACACATTTGAAAATTAATTATAGCTGTAATCCAAATACCTGATACTTTCCTTTGGTACGATGGCCTTGCTATTTTTCTTAATTCTGATGCTTGGATTAGATTGTTCTAATTTTCTTTCCACACCTCCCTTCAATTTTTCTGCTGCAGTAATTTGAAAGAATATGTATAAATAAATTATTGTGATGGTGGGCACCAGTCTACAACTATGCTGTTAACTAAAGATACATCTTATGTTTTAATGCTGATAGGGAAAAGCTATCCATTTTCTCCTTAGTAAAGCATTGCCATAACAAAATAATACTGACCCTAAGAATTTAAAGCCTCTAAGTCATTACTAACTAAAAACAGAAAACACCACAGTCTTTAATACCTGCAATATTTTTTCCCCATGGATTTAAAAAACCAGTTCAGAGTAAATACTGTATATTAGAATTTGCTTGTAAAATGAATTATAAGAACTGAATGTAAAGTCTTTTTCCTCAGAATGTTGCATAGTAAATAAAAATAAAGTCCATAATTATAAGGAGTTTCTTGTTCTTCTCAACATTGACTTCCATAGTGTTACTTTTTCTTGGATACTATTTTTCACACAAATATTTAAATACTGCTCATTTGTTTGTTTGTTTTTTTTGCAAAGTCATTTCACACACTCCCTTCTACACACACATATACTCCAAACCTTAATTGAATAGGACTTGGATAATTTTTACTTTAAAAATAAGCATTAGCACCTTGAATTAGAATGCTGCATAAAAGGGGGAAATGTTATAATTTTTATTGCTTTGTTTTATTATTTTTAAAGATCACATGTACAAAATAGCTTGAAACAAGAACATTTAGTGAAATATTGCAATGTTTTAGGAACAAAAAGAGTAGGGAATTTATCATTTATTTTCCAATTATATGTACTAATTAATAGGAAATAAAAAGTTGATGCATTGGTATTGACATCATGTTATTAATCCAAAATGATTACATGAATGCTGGAAAGAGAATGAAGGAAATTTCATTCATAATAAACTTGATAATGGCATTTATCACCTTAGTCACCTCTTATATCAGTTTTAAGGCCCTTTGAGTAATAACTGAGTAAGTTATTTTCTTGGACTAACTCAAAAACATTTTTTTAATGTCATTTAGTATAGTTATTTCAGATGTCTTTCATTATGTTCATTCCACATTTTCATTTTGAAAAAGTTTTTCCCCCACAGAAAAGACAGTAGAAGTTAATTCTGACTTTTGCTGCTAATTGAATTTAAGCAGTTTTAATAGGTTGTCTTATATTTGTCAGTCACTCTGCTAGTTGTGTGTTCAGAGGTGAAAACCACGTGGTTTCTGCCTTTTGGACCTGAAGGACTGACCACAGGCAGTTTTTAACTTCATGCCATCCAGCTCAGGAGTGCCCTTGCATTCCCTGTTCATCATCTTGTTTTGAACATAACAATAAAGCTCCTTTTACCTGGTTTCATTCTGGGCTGTAACTGCCTGCTTTGTTATTATCTTTGCTTCTATATTTTGTTAATTTTTGTTTATATACCTTCATTTCCCTTGGTAAACCTGGCCTTTTGTAGCTGGATTTTATTCAAGAACTCATTTTGTCATAGCAGATAGTCTTACTCTGCCTTTTCTTCCATAGGTGATTAGTCAGGATTTAATTTTGAGGTTTCTCAACTATCTTAAGCTGCCTTCCCATTTAGCCTCAGCCCATAAGATCTCACTTTTTGAAGTCTGCCTTTAACATTCAGTTTATGTCATCTTTATTTTCCTTCCATCCCATTCTCTTGTATAGACCGAGTATAATGTGGCCTGGTTCTTACTCGGTTACCTGCCATTTTTTGCTCTCTGGTCTCTGAGAAGAAATTTAGTTCATCTAGTTATAGGGGCCCCCAACTTCCGGGCCAGGAACTATACTAGTCTGCCTGTTAGGAACCAGGCCACACAGCAGGAGGTGAGCTTGAATGCAGTGCACTTGAATTATCCTAAAACCATTCCCCACACCAGCCTGGTTCCTGGAAAAATTACCTTCCATGAACTGGTCCCTGGCGCCAAAAAATATTGAGGGCCACTGATTAGAAGAGTCTTGTCCTCATTCATTAATTATCTATCCCAAACAACCCTCAAAGTACCAAAGTACCTTCTTTCCTGAAAACAGGAAAGAGACCAAGAAATAGTGTACAGGCATTTCTCTGATTTTTCAGCCATAAAAATGGTATTGCTGTTCTTCAGATTCCTAAATGATCTGTCATTTAATCCATACATAAATTCATTCACACATCCATTTTGAGTATGAATAATGCTTCTTAGGTTATATTTTAGGTGATTACAGTTTACTGTGAAAGTACATCTCAAATGCTAATCTGTTAAAGTGAAAGGTAACTGCCTGTCCATCATTCTTCACAATAAACTTTGTTGAAATGCCTCCTGCTGTGTGGCAGGCCCCTGGTGTGATCTTACAGGGGATCAGGGAGACAGAGTTCCTGCAGAGGAAACCATCCAGGTGTCCCAGCAGGACACAAAATCCCCAACAAAGCACTGTCAGAGGACTAAGTGTACAGTAAAGAGACATTTGCCATCACATGTAAATTTGTCTCCAAAACCATTCTTTCTCCACAAATGTGCATTTGTATTAGAATAAAAAACAATAGAGCCAGACAAAAATTACATCATTGTCGTGTAATCTTAATCTGTAGTGGGCAATGATACATTCAACCAGCCTGAGATATGTTCAGTTCAAAACACTTCAGAATTTCAGGGAATTTTCAAGACAAATTTTAGTTGAGGCTCTATACTTAAAGATAGTTCAAGTGCAAATATGAATTGCGTTAAAAGACAAAAAACTAATAGGACCTGAATGAATTATTAATACATGTTTTTCTTAAACTGTACCAGACTAATGCTAATGTACACTGCAGACTCGTTCCTGCTTCTGTCCAGTTCAAAGACCCAGGGCTAGGCAGCGTGGAGTAGGGTTTCAGAAAGGGAGTAGAACAGTGATCTATCTGCCTTTTAGAGCTCCCCGAGAATTTAAGGGAGAAGCAAAGGAGACCATGGACTTATATTTGTCCATTTGTCAATATTGACAAATGGTGCCAAAAGCATTACTTCAGTTACAGAGTGGACCAGCCACAGACAAAAGACCGGACAATGAAACATGAAAAATAGACCTTGCTAGTAGAGAAATACGAAACCAAATGACAGGCTATTTATGTATATGCCTTTATATGAAGAGCAATTTGAAGGAATGGAAGATTGGAAATAAATGACAGCATGAAAGTGATTAAATTATTTCATCTATATGACAAAATAATTCTATAGCCAGTGCTCTTGAATATACAGAATATTAAAATTATAACATTATTTACTCAAAATATAACTGGGGAGAAAAGCAAAATAACAAAAATGTTAATATAGTACAACCCCAATACATACGAATTCCTATATAAAGAACATGATAAGAATGGGTGGTTTTATTTTTTTCATCTTACACATTTTGTTTTATTTTTTAAATTATGAGACTGCTCTTATAATCCGAGAAACATTTTGTTTTACATAGCATGTCATTTCTATTGCCTATGCACCAATTCAATAATTGGTCCCCTTTATTCCATCCCACCCCTCTTCCCCAGACACACTGTTTTGGAGTCTGGAAGTCTTTTGAGAAGTGAGAGTTGGGTCACCTTGTCCTTGGGGCTTTCCTAGTGTAGTCATGGCTCTTACAACAATCCTCTAGTCCTTGTTTAAGTTTTGGACCCAGAGTACACCTAGAACCTTCTCTGAGCTGATGTGGCTAGGACATAGTCAAATGGAAGGGGATAAAATAGTAAAGCCACAGGAAGCTTAGGAGCCACCAGGCCTCTCCTAGGCCTGTGGACATACCTGCTCTGCCCCAGTGGGAGTACCAGGGAGTGAAAATCTGTATAAACTGATTGATCCCCACGTGGGTCCCACTGCATGATCAGGCTGTGGGATGTCAGCTCTTCATATATTGACTGGACTTTCATGTTGGCTATAAAGGAATATATCTTGCAATTTAATATATTGTTTAAAGTATGGTTTAATGATGCTAGAAACCAGAACAGGCAAATCTCAGGGCTTTGCCCACCACTCTTTGGTTGCAGAATTGAGGACTCCTCTAGTTTGCTCAGCCACAGCCCTGCTGCCTCCTGTTCTTGGATGAGCTGAAGAACCCAATTCTGCTTGTTTTGAGCCAAGGAGGGATTCCCCAGCCTTTAATTAGACCATGTACTTTTTCCTGCACACTTGTTCACTCTGGTTTGGAGTCAGTAGGAAAAGTCTGCCTGAGTCCAGCTGCCCAGCATCAAGAAGTGTAGAGCAGGTGGGAGCTCCCTCCCCTGAGGACCACCACACACACAGCCCCCTGTTCACAAATAAGAGAGAAAAGGGCACTCATGGCAAGTGACCTGATGAAAATCCAAACATGTATTCATGCATTTTGCACACAGAAAATTCTTCCCATGCTAACTGTTTTTCTCATTATTAGTACTTAGGTTTGTGTAGCTAAGGGCCAAATCTCAGGGTCACTTTTCTAATAGACTGTAACTGCAAATCAAGTTATCTGACCACTGATTATTTTCTACCCCTTAAGAAAATGGCAATTTTTTCTTTGTTCTGATTAGGTCACTCAAACTTAACTATGTTGTTTTGCCACCCAACACTTGTAAATCAAATGTGACAAGTTCAGAACATCAAAGACAAGTGCCTTAGCACTGTGTTCATTTAATGTCTGATTCTCTGCCGAGCCTGAGAGGAGAGAAGAGATGGGCTCAGAGTAGGATGAGCCGGGCAGACCAGGGCACAGGTGGCTCTGTGCACTGGGATTATTAGCTGGGGGAGGTAGGAGCAAGGTCTGCTCCTTCTCCTCTGCCTGAGGTAGGCTAAAGATACAACACTCTCTTAGACCCTGTTAATCCATGTTTTCTATACTTTCTCCAGCTTCTGAGTATTCCCACGAGACAAGAGGATTCTTGAGGTGGGGAGGGATGGGTGGGTGGGCTGGAATGGGAGTAAAGGACAGAAAACTGTACTTGAACAATGATTAAAATAAAAAAAAAAACAACAACAGGATTCTGCCTGGCCTCCCTCAGTTTTTTGTAATGCATGTTGATTAAGCATCTTTAAATAAGGTATCATTCCCTTGCCTGCTTCCTTCCCCAGACTTGACACTGGTAGAGAGTTAAGATAAGTTGGTTTTCCAAAGGTGTGTCACCTCATTTTATTCTTTTTTTTAAAAAATCTTTACCCAAGGTTATGTTTTTATTGATTTTTAGAGAGAGAGGAAGTGGGATAGGTGGAGAGAGAGAAACATGAATTAGTTGCCTCCTATACACCACACCAACCAGGGATCAAAACTGCAGCCTAGGTATGTGCTCCGACTGGGAATCAAACCTGCAGCCTTTTCATGTACAGAATGATGCTCCGACCAACTGAGCCGCCCAGCCAGGGCTCATTTTACTCTCTTTTTTAAAACATTAGGTTCCTGTCGTGGTGGCAGCATAGGTAAAT